ATAGATGATAGATAATAGATTTATGTAATATAAATAAATATGTAAGAGATATATATGCATAGAAAATATACTGGAAGATATACATCAAAATGTGAACTGGTTATATTTGAATGGGGTGATTACTAGTATTAATTTGGTTATTTTTGTTGATTTAAATTTTCTATGGTGAGTACAAGTTACTTTAGGAACAAGAAAAAAGTCATCAAAATTATATTTAAGGCACACATACAATTCCATAAACAGCTGCAAGGTCAGCTGTGATTTCCATAGAAAGGGTCCACCAATGGTCACGGACGGCTTCCAGGAGCCGGGGCAAGCATGGCCTGAGGTGGTTCATGCCACAAGGGAAGACACTTCCTCTTCTAATAGACCCAGTGACCCTGGGGGCGGTCCCTGGCCCCTCACGTGTGCTCTGCCTCTTCGGGCCTCAGAGGAGAAATGGAGCATGTTGGCCTGGCCCCTGAGAGGCCTCTGCTGGCTGGCCTTGGCCTAGAGCTCTCCAAAGTGCCCTTGAAAGCATCCTTCCCAGGAAGACCCAGGAGGAGCTCATATCCCTGGGGACGCAGGAGTCTGCGTGAGCTGGCCCCGGTGGGTGGCCAACGCGCCACTGATTAACTGGGTGACCTCGGGCGAGTCACTTCATCTCAGAGTGTTAGCGACCTCGGCCGTAAAATGGGGGTGTCGTAAGGGCCAAGTGGGACACGTTTTGTGACATTCATGGGAAAAGGGTAGCAACGCTTGCTTTCTAGACAGCAACTGCTTGCGAATGTTGGCAAGTAATTACCCCACAGAAATCCACCAGGAGGGGTAGCAGCACGCGCCTGCTGGATGACGGCCCACGAGGCACAACACATCCCTGCCCACGTGGCCTCCGATCTCTAGGGAGTGGGAGGTCTGAGCCGATGGCAATAGAGATGGCACCCTTAAGGTGTCCGGGCAGGAAGTGAGGTGCTGCTGGCTTGCCCATCACAAAGAAAGAGCTGGCTGGTGCAGGGGAGCCTGCAGCAGACATTTCCACACTGAGCACCTACTATGTGCCAGGAACCGTATTCTCTCTGCTATAAGAGCTTACCAGGTATTTGTCATCATCACCATTTGAAAAGGGGGGAGTAAGAGGTGCAGAGTGCTGAGGAAGCTGCCCAAGGTCACACAGCTAGAAAATGGCCTCTCTGTCTTCCCTCCACACACAGCAATTTGCAGCCCGGGGCGGAGGGCCCACCACCGAAAGGATGGTTTCTGTCAAAGCCCTGATGGTGCGGTGGGAGGGGACGGGGTGATTTGAGAACCTCTCTGTTCCCCTTGGCAGCTGTCTTTCCACTCATTCCCCACCTGCGCCCCGGTGCCAGGCCTGTTGATGGCAGAGGTACTACCCGGGTGACCCGCTCAGCCTTGAAGGGCCGCATTTCCCCTGGTTTCCAAGCCTCGGGCACTGTGCTTCGTGATGCTCTAAACCCAGGGCCTAGCCCCCTGCTCCCAGGATGGGAGGGTCTCAGCCTCAGCCCTGCGGCTGCAGAGGGTCCAAGGCTCAAGATCAGGAGTTGACTGCACCCCACCCCCCAGCCACCCCCCTGCCATGTACCAGGAATCCAATTCCTTATTGGAGGAGGGACAGGACGGGCTGGGGAAGACAGAGAGGGGACCCAGTGACTGCCCCAGGAAGGGAGGCCCTGTGGTCCAAAGACCATAACCACTTCAGGGCTGGCACACAGAGAAGTGTCCAGTCTCAGGGGAGCAGGATGGAGCAGGGATCCAGGAGTCGCCCCAGCCCCGTCAGCACCCCACAGGACAGGAGCCCTTCTTGGGGGCTGGCCTTTATAGAAGCCTGGGGTGCAAAACCCCTGGTCACTGGCTGAGGGTCAGAGGAGGGTAGACACTAACCGGGGGAGGGGAGTGGGCAGTATTTTCTGAAGCTTGTCCCCATGATGAGGGCTCCGGAACGGGGAGAGCGTGGGTGGCTCCAAATCTTGATTTGAGCATGGCCATATCCACAGGTAAAATAGCACCCGGTTAAAAAGCATTGAGTCTGTAGCCAGCCTGCCAGGCTCTGCCACGCATGAGGTTCTCAGGCAAGTGAATGACCCTCTCTAAGCCTCAGTTTCCCCATCTCTACCTGGGGGTGATAATCATAGCTGCCCCAGCACTGAAAAGAGAAATGAGTCTGTGTGCACACAGTCGGCACCACTGGCTATTATTTTGAAGGACCGTCTGGACCAGGAGTTAGCGAACCTTTTCTGTGAAGGCCAGAGAGTCAATATTTTAGGCTTTGCTGGTCAAATGGTCTCCATCACATATTCTTTTTTTTTTATTTTTCAACCCTTTGGAGATGTAAAAATTGTTCTTCGCTCAAGGTCCTTACAGAAACAGTCCACTCAGCAGACCCAGCCAATGGACCACAGTTTAATGCTCCCTGGAGATCTAGACGTGGTGGGGGCTGGGGCGTGTTGGCTGGCTTCCTGCACGTCTCTGGGCCAGGCTAGAGATGACAGCAAGATGAGCCTTAGGCACAGGGGGGAACAGAAGACTCGGTGATGAGAAGACAGGACAGGTAATGACAGGAAGAACGGGGAGGGTCAGGCAGGATTGCCATGTGCTCCGGCTGAGCCTGGAGCTCACCTGCTGTCATTATGGGCATCACAGTCCAAGAGGCACATGAGGCTGGAGCCTCTGAGGACAGCAGGCCGTGTGTTCGTCACGAGGGATGACCCTTCATCCTACCAACAAACGTTTGCGGAGCACTTGCTCTGTTCCAGGGGCTGTTCTTTCTAAGCCATGAACAACACAGAAGAGGCCGAGCTCTCCACCTGGAAGCCCTCGCTAGCAGCTGGCACCTTGGCCAGCCCAGGGATGAGCTCCAGTCGCCGTCGCAAGGATGCACTCACCGTGGGGCACTCAGCCTTCAGTGGTTCCTGGGCGGTCCTCTCATTGGGGCTTCGGAATCTGGGAGCCTGCTGTTCGGTCCTTCTGGAGGGAAAAGAAGAAAAACATCTGCTGACGGTGCAATGTTTGTGGGACAGCAGCCCAGCCCGCACTGCTCAGCTGGCACAGTGGACAGTGGTCTTCAAATGAGGACTTCAGAGGACTTGAGAAATACTGGTCGCTCCAGGAAGACCCCATTCACCGCCCTGCACAACCCAAGTTCCGAGGGGCTCAACTGTGGGTCCAGACTGCCAAAGGGAGTGTCAACATGGAGCAGAGGTCTTTGCATAGCTTTCTCCCAAACAGAAATATTATAAAAATAGCTGAATAGTTATTACGTTCCGGGCACCTGATACATTGTCTTAGTCAGTCGTTGTTGCCATTTTACAGATTGAAAAATTGAGGCTCTGTGAGGCGAACTAAGATTCTCTGGCCGTTCTGTTCATAATAAGGGAAGGGTGAATCAGACACCTAGGCACTCGTACTTGGTACCCCAGATGCAGTGATTCCCTCCTGCTCCTGGTCAGAGTTCTACTCACTGATACCATATGGTAAGTTGTATCTAACGGATACATTTTTTTATCTTGACTCATCTCCTGTGAGGTGCCCTGGGCCTAGACGTGTCGCAGGACACATGGCCGATCCCTAGTGAATATGCCAGGCTGACAACGGCCAGGTGGCTTGAGTTTCTTTTTATAAGGAAATGAAAGTAACACCACCTTACATACAAGGGCAGGGAGGCACAGAAAAATCCGTTCTGACCATGCCGGAATAGTGTGGTAGAATTAGAGCGTCAAAGAGAAAACTAAATATTTTAGAGAGGGCATCGGGAAACGTGCCGCAAGCTAGCGACTTGTTTGCAACTTGTAACTGCCCACACACCTGCAGTCAGAGAAAGATGAAACCCGCGGTCACCTCCAGACAAGGCGATTTTGACATTCAGAGAAGGCGCCACAACGAGTTATGGTAAAAAGTCAGAGAGTACACATTTTAGGCTTTGAAGGCCTTCTGTCCCGTTGTAGCAGGACAGCAGCCCTGGACAATATGTACAGGGATGGGCATGGCTGTGTTCCAATAAACCCTTATTTACAAAATCAGGCGATGGGTCAGACTTGGCGTGCAGGCCACAGTTGGCTGATTCCTGGTTTAGAACAGACATTGCAATACAACTGTTGAATGAGAATCGATTGGGGAGCAGGCGCTCCACGTCTTTTATCACCTTTCAGTAATAGGTGTTTGCTGTGTGCATACTACAGGTCAAGCGTCGCCCTAGGCAATCCAGGCTTCAGTGCAAAAAAAAAAAAAAGAAAGACAACCTCCAACCCCAACAGATGGGATGAGGGAGGGTAGATGCCACCCCAGGCCTAAAGCTCAGGGGCAGACGGAGCAGAGAGGAAGACAGACCTGTCCACTTCTTGACCCCCAGCCTTCTCAAATCCCTCGTATAGCCTGATTCTCACAAACTCGCTAGGGCAGCTATCAGTAACCCTGCTTGACAATGGGGACATTGAGACCCGGAGACCACAAAGCCTCAACTGAGGAGACTCCCTGTTTTCCTATGACTGCTAATAATGACAGCATTGGTTAATAATGATTAGCACTGAGCGCTTAGAATGTGTTTCTGTGGGTTATCCCACTTAACCACGTAATCCTCCCAACCTAACGAAAAGTTATTATATGGTATATTACGGCTATGTCTGTATATGTGATATTACATGTGATACCAACAAGGACCCTTAAGCAGAGGGGTTGTCTGTACCCACCACACTGAGTACATGGCCAGGATTAAGCCCACACTGTTAGACACACAGCCCTGTCCTCTGATCACCTTCACGCCCTTACTACATCCTTCTAGCATCTGAGAAGCGCCAGTAGGGGACGGAGAGTTAGGACAGAGAAAGAGAGAAAGGATAAGCAACTTTCTTGGAAACCCTGCCGTCCCCGTTATCGCCCCAGATGAGAAAACAAAGGGCGTGCTGGCAGAAGGAGCGGGTGAATGAGCCTGCTGGGTGACGTGGGGACTGGACGATAATTCTGAATAAAGGTCAGGCTTTTCCAGAGAGAGAAAGCAGGCTGAAGGGTAGTGTTTCTCTTGAGCACAGCAGCACAGACTTAGCAGGCCTCCAAGGTGAGCGCTGAACTTGGCCGGGTGTGCAGGGTTGTATAATCATCTCAGCCCTCCCGGGTCACTCCAGGGCAACCTTTGTACCATAAAAACAATCTCATGAATGCCTACCAGTCGGAGAGGTAAACAAACAGAGGAGTGATCGCACGCCGGGGATCCCCTAACATCCCTCCAGGTCCTGCTGGGCTAATAATAAGCCTGGTAGTCAACACTTAAGGAGCACTTCCATGCCAGATACACGTGCTCCTAGCATTTAGGGACCACGCTATGTCAGGGTGATAAAATCATCCATTTTACAGATGAGGAACCTAAGGGTGAGGATCTTGCCTCAGCTCACTGTGCTCATCTAGAGTGGAGCTAGGATTTGAAGCCAGGCAACTTGATTCCAGGACCTGCACCCAACCGCCTCTATGCTGTAGGGAGGCAGCTGGGCATGTGGCGATGGAAACAAAGATCTCGGAGCCTGGGATTTCGTGAAATCAGTTCTTAGCTCTACCACTTCTAGCTGGAGATGGGTGACCTGGGATTCACTGTGCTAAGCATCCGTTGTCTCACTGTTAGAACGGGGATCCCCAAGTCTTAGGATGGTAATGAGGATAAGGGATATAAACAAAGTGGCTGCATTAATTCCCCCATAATTGGTGTCTGGTCTCACAAGGCCCACACCCCCTGCCGCTTCGGAGAATATAGCGAAGGTCCGCTCTGAACCTCAGGCTTGTCTTCAGCTCTCACGCCACCTTCCTGGGCTGCACGTTCTGTTTGGTGGACTCCCAACTAGGGTTCCCAAACCTAACACAGGTTACGGAAGACCCACCCAGGATTTCCCAGCCCCAGAACGCTCTCGCATCAAGTCAGACTTTAACTCTCTCCACCCTTCCCCCCAACACCCCACCACCTTGCCAGTTCATTATCCTAGCTCCACCCAAGAAGCAACAAGGGAAACTAAAAAGGTAAAAAAAATTCAGCCAAGTTAATCTGGCTATTTTGTAGAAGTTTGGGCACACAGTCTGGTGAGAAAAGAAACAGAAACCCTGAGTTCACCAAAGGCAGGCAAAGACAGTCCTTCACGGAGGTGCCTAGACCTGTTTGAAAGTAAAACCTCCCATCCAGCCCTCCCTGGAGGAACCAAAATTCCCTAAAAACAGAAGGAATGAACCTCAGGAAAGATGCTTTTCCTTGTCTGCGAAGTATCTCTCCATAAACTTCCAGGTCCCCCTCTGCCAGGGAGAGGGAGGCGGTCCGTGCAGAGAGCTGCATGTTCAACCTAATTAGTTTCCTTTGTAATCCTGACTGTGTTATTACATGCGCTTTAGATGCATTATTCTGAAAAGGCCTCCATAGCTTCCCCAGTTTGTCAAAAGTCTTTGGCACCAAAAAAAGGTTCCAAAGCTCTCTGGTCCTGGCACGCCAGGCCCTAGAAACTCACAAGTCCCTGCCCTCTCATGAAATTCTTTCCTAAAGGTTTCTAATAAGTTTCCAGATAGCAGCATGTTGTCTGTACCTTTCAGCTTCCCTGTGGAAACCCTGTCTTATCTGCAGATCTGTGTACTGGAGACAGAGAAACAAAGCAACAATGACTCTATTCTGACACATACAGGCTTTTCCAATCACGACCCTGACCTTGTTTAATGATGAGTGCCCCCCCTCAGGGTCTGAAAATTCTGAGAGGGCAGGGGCAAAGTCGAATCCTCATACTCTAGCATGTAGCACAGCAGCTAGGATGAGCAAGTCTCTGATAAATGTTTGCCGAACGCCCGAGGAAAAGGGAGAGACCAGCTGGGCAGGGAGTTTTACTGTGCCCAGCCCTTTCCTCCTTTCCAAGGGTAAACTTGCCATCCCTCGAGCAAATCCTTGGACATTTTTTCTCTTGGCCTCAGAGGCCTGTTTAGAGTTCTTGACCTTTTCTTTTTATTTGGGCCACTGAGAGGACAAGTTGGCATCATGTCTGCCTCCAGGGGTCAGGCCAGTTGTGCCTGCTCACCACATCCATGGATTTTCCCCTTTCCCCTCCTCTGGGAGCCCTGCAGAGTGAATTCTGCTCCATGCCAGGCAGATGACTAGGCCTTTCACAATTCATCTCTATGGAACATGCTCCCCCAAACCTACAGAGCACATGTCCTTGAAGGGCACGTGCAGAACTCCACAAGACAGACTGTACGCTGAGCCAGAAGAGAGAAGTCTCAATACATTGCAAAGGACTGAAATCACATAGAACACGTTGTCTGAGGACAATGGAAATAAATTCAAAGTTGGCAAGAGTAGATGCTTAGAAAATCCCCCAAATATTTGAAGAATCTTGCTCAGTGCTAGACACAGAGTAAGCCCTCCATAGTTTTAGCCCCTTCTTCCAACCCCTGACCCAATATCTTTCTCCATCACAGTGAGCTGCTGTGGCTGAAAGTGAAGGCTGACTCCCAGCCAAGGTTACAGCTTCAGGCCCGAAGGTGGCACCCGCTGCCCAGTCTGCACGGTATGTGGGACAATGAGTTAACCTTGGAGTCCCCCTGAGCCCCTCGTCTCTCACCAGAGCCACACCTAGACAGGGGGGACCTCCACCAATGCTGCCAAAATGGGGCCCTACCCACTCTCCACCCTGAGGAGCCCCAACCTTCTCGAGGGGGCTGCCCAGGTGTGGGGGGAAGAGTTCAACTTGGTGATGGACATTGCTCTATTTACTCAGAATGTTCTCTGGCAAATAGAATCCAATCTGTTTTGTTGAAAGAGTTTAACTGACACCCCCATTGTGGGTGAAGAAGAGTCTCTACCATAAATCTGACCAGTCCAGTGACTGAAAATAATCTCACAGGATGATCTAATCATAAATTCCTAACTGGCAGGTCATGGGAGGTAGTCATGCCCCAAGTATATCACTTCTTTAGTTAAAAGTTTATCTTTGCCTTAAGCAAGCCCTGTCCACTGG